GCATGGTGCTAGAGTGTCTCAGCCTCCAAAGTTATGAGGATACCAGCAATCACTTCTCATTCTTTGTCCTGCCTTTACATTCCTGCCTTATCTCAATTTCCCAAAAGGCTGTGTTCCAACACTGCCCCATTCTGAGGAAGGGTCCAAAACCCCAAGAGGAAGCCTACCAGGTTCCTGAGTCCTCAGGCTGGCCTACCCACCCCAATTCTCTATCTCTTCTCACGTCCCCACTCCTAACAGCAAGCTCTGGATCACATATTCCCCCCTCCTGTAGCACTTCAAGGACACAATAGCCTGGCCATCAGCTACATGGGGACCATGTAGTTCCCATGTAGTTCAGCTGTAATTCCCACCTACCTCAGGAGGAAAACCATGGCACTTGCTGGCCATTTTGGTCACACACACGAAGAAGCTACTGGCTTCCTCTCACAAAGACACAGTGGTCATCAAGTAGGTACCACCTCCCTGGTCCTGGTACCAGCAGCCTCTAGTCTAGACCATGCACCCTCTAAAGGGCTCCACCTGCCACAGGTATACAGGTAGCTGGATTCTGGATGGTTCTGTTAGGGAGACTTTTGCCTAATAAGTAGTCAAGGGCACTGGTGTCAAGAGCCCCTTCCTTTCCCAATTCCTTATAACACAGGGGGTCAAGGATCAATCAGGGAAGGTGTACATGGAGAACAAGTATGTGGGGCCTGCCATGGTTCCTATGTAGCTAATGGTCAGGTTCTTGTGTCCATTTGAAGTGCTGGGATTATCATAAAGGGGCACTGGGTTTGGTCAACACCAGGGGTGATTAGAAACAAACAGGGTAAGGCCTGCTAAAAGGAGCCAGCATCTGCTGGCAACAGAGGTTGAGCCTAGAGCCACCTCCCCTTGGGGGCCAGTATGCAGGTAGGAAGCATGTGGGTTAGGAAGGTGATGTCTCGGTTAGGTGGGCAGAACTTTCTGTCTATCCTAGGACACTGTATGGTGGCGAAGACAGGCCCAACAAATCAAAATACACTAAGGTAACAGCCATTCCTGAGCCACCCAAGCAGGTCCAGGAGACACGGTCCTTGCCAGAGAGGGCCTGTCCTACACTGAGCCTCCTACTCCTTCCTCATGGGCACTGAAGCCTATATGTACCCTGCAGTCCTTCAGCAGGACATGCTCGGCCTTGCTGGCATTATGCCTGTTTCGTGGAGGGATGAGACGGGAAAGGTGACATCTCACGGGTATGTCAGCTCCCTGATGAGGGTATGAATGACTCTCCAACACAAGTGTACAGGGACCCACTCTGGGACTCATCCATCTAGGGTCCTTCCCGACATGCCACCACCCACAGCTCTTGGTAATAAGGCTCCCTCGCCTGTACCAACGGAGTCCCAGAGTGGGTGCACCCTCACCCAGACACGGCATGAATCCACACATGCTCCAGAGTCCCACTTGGCGGGTGCTAGGTGGTGTGTCAATGGTGGGGGACATGTGTCCTGCCACTCTTCTCCCAGCAGTGACCTGCACACACTGAATGCTCAGCTCTAGGACCTTGGGGAAGGCTGACTCCTAAAATGCAGGACAAGTGTCCCTAGACAGACAAGAGTGCCTGTCAAGACAGTAGTCCTCTCATCCACATCCCATAAACCTAACTGGCTGAGAGTGGTAGACATTAAAGGAGACAGCAGCTGTTCCGCCAGGCCATTCAGGGTCTCCAGAGAAAAGAGAAGTTGACATGGACAGTTAACAGTAGGAGAAAGACCCAGCAAGGTGTCAGGTTATAGAGAAGAGGCTGAGGGTGAGGAAGCAACCACCCCTACCTCAGACCCAAGAACCCTCAAAGGACCCCCACTACAACATTCCTCGGTAGATTACCAGCCAGGGCCACAGAAGCCTGTGCTACTTTAATATGCCTGGCTCATAATTCAGGCCCAAGAGCCCCTAGAGGGCCAGTGACCCCCAGCAATCAAGACAGTACCCCTGAGGGCCAGCCTGGATGCTCTGAAGCAGCAGAGATGGACCGTTCTCAAAGTGCAGGATGAAGGCAAAGCAGGGCAAGGACAAAGGACTGTCTCCCCATGCCCAAGGCCAGACCCAGTGAGTCCCCACAGGGGGCACGCATGCCAGTGGTGAGCCAGGGACTGGCAGGCACCTTGGAGCAGCGTGCCCTTGGGACATCTCAAAGCATCCATTTTCAAAAGATGTCATGAAGATTTAGGCTTGTCAAGCTGGGGCTACAACAAATGTGTGAACTTCCAAACTGGGCTCAGCCCAACTGCCTCTTTACCTATGTGACCTTGACATGCCCTTCACTCTTTGTCAGTTATGGGGAAGGAGAGGTTAAGGGGGAATGCTCCTATAGACTCTCACCTCTGAATACTCCAGATCTCCTCCTATACCCTAAACACCCAGAGCTCACTTCCTTTGCTGACACAAGACAGCGGTGCCCACTCCTGAGCTTCACACCCCTGAGGCCCCACCTCCCTTTGCTTGGGACAGGCAGCTGCGCTGCAGGCAGTTCTGGGTCAGGAGCCTGGGGTGGGGTGGGGGAGCCAGGGCAGAACATAACCCAGCAGAGAAGGCTACAACACACGGGTCCCACCCACCTTCCTCTATAAATAAGCCTGTGTAGGAGAAACAGCGCTCTCCCCAAAAGTTCCAGCCCGATTGTATTTTTAAAGAGCAAACTAAATCAATAAAGACAAAGGCTGTCCTTGGAGGCTCCTTTGCCACAGGGATGGGAAACACCATCTAGGCAGAACTAGGACTATGTGTATATCGGTATCTCGGCTAGCCATATGAGAGTTTCAGAAAGGTCCCGGACTGGGAGAAGGTACTTCCCTAGGTTCCGACAGCCAATAGAAGCCCAGCTGTGGCTGGCAGGCATCTGCTGGGAGCCAGCGGCTGCTTCTCAGAGCAAAGGTTCACCTGAGCAAAGCCGACTTTCCTCCCTCTGGGAAAGACAAAAGGTCCTGCCGACACTATGTCTACCTGCAGGGGAGAACGGAGGCCCAGGAAACACACTCTAGCCACAGGACACTACACAGTCTCTTGTAAAAATTCTGGCCATGCCAATCACCCGGGGCTCCCCTGCCTCATACAAAGCCACTCCTCCCAACTCCCAGGAATGTAAAGAGCCTCAAAGAGCTTGGAAAGCCTCGGCCCACACGGGCTTCCCCAGTAAGCTGATCTCCCGCCTGTCCAGGCATGCAGCTTATTTTAGGATCTCCGTGGGGCCCAGGTTCACACCCCTACTCCAGAGCCTGGCATCTGTTGGGGGTCAGACCACCCCCATGTGGCCAGGGCTCTAGTGAACCCACCCCACTGGACAGATGCACAGTGCTGACAGGGCCATATAACCTAGGAAACCAGCTCTTTGTGTAGGGCATCTCCCTAGCTTGGGATACGCGGAATCCCTGGTTTTCAGAAGTAAGAGAATCTAGCTGTGTCTTGAGGTACACATAGCAAGAAAATGGGGGTGTGGCAGAGCAGGAGGAGGACCTTCTCCCCTTGGTGGCCTCACTTGCAGGGACAGCCTGGCCTTTTTCTTCCCCAGCTGAGAGCTCTCCTCACCCTCCTGCCCTCTCTTCCAGTGCTGATAACACCTGATTCTCTGTTAGGCCTACAAGGGCATCTTCCACTTTAGGTCATAAAGTTGGCTCAGGCCAGGTGGCGATATTATTTCCACAACCCTTGAGGACTCATTCTACCTACACGAGACATCTTATCCCCACCTTCCCGGCATGCTGCAACACAAACAACCTTGTTAGAAGTCCTCAGGGACACAGCAGCTAAAGAACCAGGGTCAGCCTCAGACTCCTGTGCAGCCAGATCCTGGCTGTCAGAAGAGCAAATTGAGGCCCACTCCCTTCTTCCCTTAGTTTGTCCAGCTTGGAAACAACAAACTCAGGTATTAATACAGGGCTGGCCTTTGTCCCCTCCCAAGTTCCACAGTGGCACTGCCCAGTGGCCCACTACCACTCCCAGCCACATCATCTTTCCACCAAGCCAATCACCCAGTCACCTCCAGCCTAAATCCTGCAGAGGGGACAAACTGACAGCTGGCACACAAGGTTACCCTGCTCCTGCACAGAGGGCCAGCCAACCCAGAGGATGCCCACCACTGGCAGTCACCACAGTCAACTGCAGAGGACAAAGACGGCAGGCATGAGCCCAACCTGGCTCAGAGTAGGCCACAGCCATAGCCCTGAGACCACCATCCTCCTTTATAAGCAGAGAAAAATCTGACTCACCCAGTGTTTGGATTGGAGTGAAAAGAAACACGGGCTTTATTACTTTTTTTGGTACAGATTTCTCTTTTGTATTTAATATTTATACAGTTAAACACACAAGGTAGAGAAACATATACACACATTGCTCATTTTGCCTCTGCCTCCGACTCTCCCGAAGAGTGTTTATGGGCCCATGTCAACTCCCTGGCCCTCCACCCACCCAGCCCAGGAAGGCAGCAGCAGCACCCACACCTCAGCCTACCCTGGTGACCAGCTTCATTGAGTTGCTGGGGGAGGGGTAAGGAGCAAGCAATACCAGGCATTTTTTTTTTCAGCTCCTCCTCAGAGCCTGCCAGGGCAGTTCCCCAAAGGCCACCTGCTCAGTGGCCAGGAGCCCCTTTTTGCACCCCCAAAATGCCTCCAGCACTGACCCAACCCTGTTCTGGAAGCTTCTGTGAAAGTCTGTAGCCTTGGAGCCAAGAAAATTAAAAAGGCACAGTCCTTCCCTCTCTAGTCAGGCAACTGTGGAGAAGGGGGTCAGGTTCAAAGCTAGCTGCTTCCCTGCTCCCCTAACCCCAGCTGTGCCTGACTTAAATCAGCCCCTGAACAGACTTCAGCCTTAAAGACTGAGTTCTCAACCAACGTCACTGGCTCTCCGTGAAAGAACCAGGGACCAGCCCTGCCTGGCACACAGTGCCCACAGAGCAGGTGGAAAACTTTCTCCCCTTCAGGCCTCCCAGTCTCCAGAGTGGGGCTTCACCTAGACTCTGGTGTTCCTTTGGAAAGCTAAGAAGGCGGGGATTCCCATCTCCCCCTCTCCGACCGCAGGAGTTAACAACTATCTTTCATTCCCTTCCAAGCCGGCGGCATCCTCGCTGCTTCCGCCCATACTCTCCGTCCCGAGCTGCCTCTGAACCCAGATCACACCAGCAAGTTCCGAGGCGTAACCCTACCACCTCTGAGAAGAACGCTGCCCTCGCACCCCTACCCAGCCCGCGCCGGATCCCAAAAGCCGGGTTCACAGGGCGTACGCAGAAGGAGTCCCAAACCTCAGCCCCCAGCGCCCTGCCAACCCTGTAAGGATATGGGTTACAAACCAGTCGGAGGCACCAGCTGCGCGGCCGCGTGGTTTGCCCGAGGCAGAAGAAGACCGTGGCAGCCAGTGCCGGGTATGGGACGGGCTGTTCCTCGTCGGCGCCCAGGTCCGCACCACACTCGGTCGCTGGGCTCTCCGGAGCCAACACGCCGGACCCGGATCCTCGCTGTTCCTCGCGCCCCGGCGCCCCAGGACTCGCTGGGGAAGCCCTTACCGGCGCTGCAGGGGCCGGAGGCGAAGCGCCCAGGGGCACCCGGACCTCGTCCGCGGCCAGAGTGCCCTCGGTCATGGTAGCGGAGGGCAGCACCTGCGGAGAGAGGGCAGGCGGTGACCCTGGCCCAGGAACGACGCCCCCGCCCCGCCTGAGGCGGAGCGGAGCTGCGGGAACAGCCGCGGCCGCCGGGATGTCTTTGTCTCTCCTTATTAGAGACAAATGCGCCCCCCGCCCCCTCCCGCCCCCTCCCGCCGGCAAAGGCTGGCAGCCCCACCCCCAAGGCCGAGGCGAAGGGCTGCGGGAGCCCTAGGGGGTCCGAGCCCACAGAGCTCAAGTTCAAAGGGTCCCAAGGCGCGCAGTAAGCGCGCGTACCCGCCGCGTCTCACCTCGCTCCGGTGGCCAGCGGCGTCCCCGCGGGCATACCCGGGGCGGCGCTGTCACTGGGGACCCAGCCCGGAGCCCGGAGCTGGGCCAGCACCGCCTCCTCGGCCCGCGCCCCCGGCCCACCCGACACCAGCTCTCGCGGAGGCTCTAGCTCCGGCCCGCCCAGCAACAGCAACGGTGTCCAGATGCGGAAAACCGCTAAATGCACGGCGGGGCGGGCGCGGACCGCAGGCACGGGCCGGGGGCGCGGCCGAGCCGGAGACAGAGCGAGCGAGCGAGCCCTGGAGCCCGTCCGTGCACAGCGCAGGAAACTTCGGAGTGAGCAGTGACGGGGGGCGGGGCGGCGGGGGCGGCCCAAGGGGCGGGGCCAGTGCGGCCGGGGCGGGCCGGGGGCGACCCGCAGGGACCGGGATAGGGACCGGAGAGTGGGCGGGGGTCATCAGCCCGTCCCGCCCCCACCCAGACACAAGCTATCCCACACCTCCTGGTCCGTGCTTCTCTGGTGCCGGTTCCCCGCCTGCCCCAAGTCCAGGACTGGGCGAACCCGGTCCGCGCCCCACTCCCCGACCTCTCCTCCCGCCCCATACCATCTCGTGGGAGAACACGGCAGCAGGGGGCGCTCGCAGGGATGCTCTGGCGAGGGGCGGGGGAAGCGGCGCCAACGTCCTTCCCCGCCCCCACTGCGGGGGCGCGGAGCAGGCGGGGACCCCCTCCTTTCCTCGCGCGCCGCCCCTTCCCTTCACTGCTAGGGTCGGCTAGGGGGCGGGGCTCAGCAGGCGTGGGAGGCACGCCGTGACCATGGCCGCGAGGCGCGTGCCCTTCCCCCACCGCGTGTGTCTTGGGTGTGCCGGGGCGCCAGTGTCCTGGGGCGCATGGGCGACGTGGGGCGCGATGCGAGACGCGACACCGATTGTCCTGGGGCAGCCCGGGTGCTCCGGCACGCAGTTCCCTCACACTCCTCCCAGTTTCCGCAAACTTGCTGGTGCCCATCCCCCTTCCCTTCTTTCGTGGAGACTGGGGCGCACGGAAGGACCTGGTGAAAGAGCGCAAGCGGAATGGAGTCTCCCCGCACCCACCGGCTCACCAAGGGTATATCCTAAGCATGTCGCTGGCCCTCTCCCCGCCCCTTTATACTCGAGGGATTGCAGGATCCTGGTCCCATGAAGGCATGAACAGAGGGGCTGCTCCCTCCCTCCCGCTGAATTTATGCAGTGTTTTTTGCTTTCTCACAATTACCACTCTAGGGTCATAAAATTCCAGCTCCTAGGTGTGTATCCACTCAAATTTCAACCAACAAGGGGCTCTTTCACCTTCACTTTCACGGTGTTATTGGGAAAGACCACTCCTGTCCTAGACAAAGAGCAGCCACCCTTTCTCTGCCCTGGGGCAGCTGGGCTCTTTGGAGGGCCAGAGCAACATAGCAAACCCATGCCTGGATGGGCCCCTGGTAGGGTGAACTGCAGAGAAGTGGAGCTTCCCATGCGTGGCTCAGGGGCTCTGGGGGGACCTCATCACCGGGCCTGGGAAGGGCACAGGCTGGAGGGAGGTGGTGGAGAGCAAGGACTCTATCCCCTGTATGTTGGTCCAGGCGGGGCAGGCCCCTGGGCCCAACAGCACCTCATCTTGTATATATGAACTTTTCAAGAAAAGGAAAACATTTACTCTATTTTAATGCTCCTACTTACCAGTGGGTGGCTGCGGCTCATAATTAAGGTCCTCGAAGAGCAATTAAGGACCTAGCCACCCAGGAGAGGGACCCGGGAGAGCCGAGAGTCTTGAATACAGTCGAGAGAAGCACAGACAAGTGAGGCAAATCATACCAACGCAGGGTCCTGGACAAGGTTGCTGGTAAGCCTGCCACTTCCCTTAAACCCCTTGTTAAAGGTTAAGATGAAGTGCAAGAGCTTACTGATAGGGTGGCGGGCCCCAGTTGGAGCTGAAAGGCATGAGCAGAGGGGCTCAAGCAGAGGTACAGCCGGGGTGACCACTAGACATGTTATCTTGGGAGCTCCATTCCAGTGGGAGGCAGGCCGTGAACACGTGCACAGATGGAGCAGATAAACATCAGTTGGTCAGGGCAAGTGCCTCTGATGTCACTGAGAAGATAGGCTTCCTGGGGAATAAGGGAAGAGGATCAGAGGGCTGGAGGCTTCAAGGCCCCAATGCAAAGGTGCTGTGGAAACCAAGAGATGGTGGAGGAGTGGGAGGATGCCCCAGAGCAGAACACATCCTTGCAGAGGTCAGCAATAAGATGGAAGGAGAGGGCCAGCGCTGGTTTTCTACCGGGCCCCGTGGAGCCTGGAGGGAGCTTCCTGCACCCTAGATTTGACGGCTGACTCACCCATCTCTGTTACACACTGCTGTTCAAATTTCTATAGAAGGCCCTGGACTAGTGTGTGTGTGTGTGTGTGTGTGTGTGTGTGTGTGTGTGTGTGTGACTGAGCCATTTCCCCAGGCCTGGCTGTGGACTTTTGAACCATTATTTGAAAGAAATCAATGGTCTGACAGTGCCCACAGCTAGCAGGACCCAGAGCTTCAGGGACACCTACAGAGTGATACACCCTTAGGGAACTTCTTCCGTGTCTCCTCCTCCCCCGGCTCTGTCAAGCCTCCCGAGGACCGAGGACCGGCTATACTGCCCTCACAGGGTCCCATGTCCCTGGGCTGATAACTCTCCTCAGCATCCTGTGGCAGTGGTCATCTGCAGTGGCCTTCCACACCTGAGCATCCATTATCAGCCCGCTGATGTCCGCTTTGCTGCAGGCGTGAGCATATCCACGTGACACAGACTTGCCTTCAGGAGAGGAAATGAAAAGCAGACACTACTCAGATATGAGATGAGAAAATCGGGTTCAAAACAATGAACGCATAATACGTTCACGTGGTGAGCAAGGAATGAGAGAGACAAGCATAGGACAACTTGGAAGTTGGCGTTAAAATTGTTTAATTAAACCATACAGAGTGTTCTGATGCATTTAAAAATCCTTCAGGCCTCTGGAAAATTTGGTTCTGTCTTTTTCTTTTTTTTTTTCTTTCTTTCTTTCTTCTCTCTCTCTCTCTCTCTCTCTCTCTGTGTGTGTGTGTGTGTGTGTGTGTGTGTGTGTGTGTGTAGAGCTGCTTGACAAAGAGTTGAGGACTGGAAGGGGGACGCATAACCTGGGAATTGAGCCAATGAGAACCTCCGGGCTATGACACTGGGGATCTCTGGTCACTCCACCTAGCTGAAGGTCAGCTGAAGGCAGGGTGGCCCACAGGGCAGTCAGCAGTAGGAGTGCCTTCACCACAGCCTGTGGGCACCTATCCAGCTCAGAAGGTGCTCTTGGCACCCACCCTTGACTTGGCTACAGATCCTCGAGACCTTCCATTTCAGCTTCATGTGGCTGTCTTCTCTGCCATGGACACCCATGGCCCTCCTGAAAATCCCAGTGGCTCCCGTGCTGCTTGGATCGAGTCTGAGCTTGGAGTTTGGACCCACAGCCTCCGTGAATGAGTGAATACCCATGCCTAGGCGCCCACTATCCTATCTCCTCTTAACCATCTCCCTCAGACCACAGGCACCCTTTGCATGCCACATTGGCCCTGCCAGGCTGCCAGACCTGGCTTCACCTAGAGTTAGGTCCTTTAAACTCAGAGGGCCTGGGGTCCTCTTGGATTCCCACAACCAAAGCCTCTGTCACCCAGCGTCCCAGCCCTGTAGCGGTCACCTGTATGTCTACTAGGCCAGGTGTGCCTGCAGGTTCTATGTGGGTATGTATAAGGCTGCGCCTTGACCCCAGGCACACTCTCCCTCAGGTAGGTGGACAAGAGATATTTTTTGCATGGGTGAGTGATAGCAAAGCAACCTTGGGGCTCAGAGAAGCTAATGGGATCACCAAGCAGCTGGGCAGCCTCATACTGGTGTCCACTGAGCTATAATAGAATTGGGGATCTTGATTCCACACCCTGCCTTCTCTAAGGATGCCAAGCAACTTTGATGCCCCATGCATCTCTGGGGTGTGGGCTGGGCATGCTAATGTTGCCATCAATTCTAGCCTCCTTATGTCTCTGGAAGAAGGGTGTCTGGGACAGTGGTATCAGGCAAGGCACAGGGGGTAGTCTATTCCCTGAGTGTTCCTGAGATGGCCCTGTGTACTGGCCAGTCTCATGTCAACTTGGCACACCCTAGAATCATCAGAAGAGGGAACCTCAGTTGAGAAAATGTCTCCATAAGATCAGGTTGTAAGGCAAGCCTAAAGGGCTTTTTATTCATCAGAGATTGATTTGGGAGGACCCGCATCAATTTGGGGGGTTTGTAAATGGGGCCACTCCTGAGCTGGTGGCCCTGGGTTCTATAAGAAAGCAGGCTGAGCAAGCCATGGGAAACAAGCCAGTAAGCAGCACCCTCCACGGCCTCTGCATCCGCTCCTGCCCCCTGTGTGAATCCCTGTCCTCACTGCTTGCGATGAACTGTTATGTGAAGCTGTGCTATATGGAGCCCTTTCTTTCCCATGTTGCTTTGGTCATGGTGTTTCATCACAGCAAGAATAACTGTGACTAAGACAAGTTAGATAATGGGGTCTTGCTGTGACTTACCATAGTTTGGGGAGGATTATGGAAGGACCTTTGGAACTTTGGGCTACTGAGAGGTCAGTGGGATGTTTAGTAAGAGTTTGGAAGCTAAGATTGTTGAGAGCAGTGCAGATTGGAGGCCTGGCTCAAGTTCCAGATGGAAGCTGTGCTCCAGAAGCAGCCAAGGTTTTACCTCCTGCTGGCAGCCAAACTTGGTAACGTAAGAGTCACCCAGGTGGTACTGGTTTTGAAGGAATGAAGGGGTTATGGGGAGCAATTGAGGCTTGGCATTGTGGTTGCAGGGTTGGAGTCCCTGAAGAGAGCCCAGGAGAGGTTATTGGTGAAAGTGCAGCCCAGTCCAAGCAAGGGACCCCAGCAGTTTTGGAGATGCCAGTACCATTGGAAGACCACCAAGAGCAGTAGCAGTAGTAGAGAGGAGCCAATCAGAGCCTAGAAGACAAGCCGTGTGTGCTGCAGAGGACAGGACCAGAGAAGTGATGTAAGCTACCCAGAAGATCATGAGTGAACCCCCAGATTATTGGGTATTGAGTTATTTACATTGTTAGAGTTTGGTTTTGCTTTGTTCTGAGTGGGACTGCCATACAGTAGCCTACAGCTGAAAGACTTTTAAAAGAGATTTTGGATTTTCAAAGAGAATGGATATTTTGAAGAGACTTAACATTTTAATGTGTTTGAATTTGTAAAAATGGTGGGACTTTTATGTTTTATATTGTTATAGTAATGCTAACATGC